CCCTCAAATCCATTGACCAACCTGGGGTACCAATTGTCTCCAAGTGGGTAATGGAAGAAAATACGATAAATCAGCAAACAATCAATTGTAATCTTGATAGAGACAGAGGAAATGAAACAGTCCGGCCACAGCAAAAGCGGATATGGTAGTTGTTAGCAGCAGCACCGATCAAGCAGTTAAGATCTACCTTCTCGAATCTACTTTACAGATCCCTTTCCGCCACAACCTCCTGTCGACAAAGAAGACACAGTCCATCCTCGCTACGATCCGATGTCCGAGAGGTTTGTAACAACTACCAACTGATGAGACCACTGATCTTGTTGTTTAATCGATGACAACAATGCTTGCATCAAGTGATAGAAAAGTGAAAAAGGGAGAAAAAAGAGGAACTGAAGGATTTTGATTGGAGATTTTGAACTGAATAAAATTTGCTGCCTTTCCCCCTATATCCTCGCATGATCACCATTGGAAGTCTGGGTTACTTAAAACCCGATTTTCCGTCGTCGCCCTCGCAGATCTGAAAAATGGAGGATAATAGTGAGATATGCACAAAAAAGTTAGAGAATAAGAGTATCGAGATGATTTACTGAAGGGATTCTTGGTTATTAAGGGACCTCTTGATCGCCACTTCTCTTGATAGCTTCGTCCAACTTGATCATCGCATCTGCTTTAGTGGAAGATGAATAAATCCGCAAACAGAGGAAGGTTGGATTCAGAGAGAGAAACTGGAGCAAATACAAAGAATGAAAGAGGATCCGACTGAGGAAAGAAAGTGATATAGGCAAGAAGGTAATAAGTGAAGATTGGAGTCTCGTGCCCACCTCTGAACCATAAACATGTGGTGGAAATAATCCCACGCATGATGTGAGTAAACAAAGGAAAATAAAATGAATTATTTGTCATCCACACCCACCCGAGCTAACAGCTTTTTCGCCCAGCCACTCGAGTGCAAAAGTGACACACCACTGACAGGAAACTTGGGCATCACGCCCGCCTGGAAAGCCACACCTTGGCCTCTCAACACCTATACCCCAACCTCCCTCTAACCGGATACAGTCCTCAAGTAGTTTCAGAGTGATCATCGCGTGCGAGAGATACGGAAAGGACCCCTAACCAGAAGACAAACAATGGTCCAAACTCAACTGAACACCAAGTCTAGTTGGGAACCAACCAGAACTTCCCTGCACCCTCCCACACCCAATCTCAATCCGAGTTGAAACAGTACCGCTGAGTCTGTATGGACAGTAAAAGCTGTCTTGATGTACAGTACACAGCCCCTTAGTGGGTTTTCTTTTTTCAATGAAATCATTTTACTTACAAAAGTGAAAAGGTATTACAATCTGTCAATAATTGGTCATTGAGAAGGAAAAGAATTTGATCAAAGAAGGAAAAGCGTGAATGAGGGAGTAAGTTATAGGACTGACTGGGATAATTCAACCGTCACATAATGAAATGTGGACAAATTTTTGCTATAAAATGAAATAGAGATGGAAGAGAAATTAGTGATAGGGCGAGATAGCATGCCTGACAAAAGAGACAAACTTCATGCCAATTTATTTTTCACTTTTTTCATATAGAAAATTCATCCCATTAAATTTTTTGGTTATAAATAGTAGTTCCAAATAGACAATTACAGAAAATCAGACAACCAAATATGGCAATCGACAAATAGTGGAACTGTTAGAAGGACAGTAGAATTGATAAATTCTAAATAAAAAATGTTTACCAATATGTTTTAAAAAAAGGTGCAGATGATTCATGTTTAGATTTATATATTTCACTATTTTGCATCATCATGGAGTAGTCTTTATTTAATTAATTTCATTATATTTCCCGTTAATATTTCCTTTTTCTAGTATTTTCTTTTCTTTTATTATCCTCCCCATAATTAAAGCAATGAAATTTTATCTCTCCCTATAATCTCTCTCCCCCAATTAGTAACCGAATTTGTTTTGGAATCTCTCCCCAGTCCCCCCATTATTTTAGGAAGAGAATCCGTTTTTTTTACTCCAAGCACAAATACATAAATGCCCATCCTATTTGTGCGGATTGATGAGCTGTGGCTGATGTGGCAGAAATTTTTCCTTGACATTGCCTTATATTTATTTGTAGATTAGCAAAAGTGAATTTACTTTTAATGATATAATTATGGTTATTAATCTTTCGGTCTAAGTTAGTAAGTAGTTGGTGTCATTATTAATAGGTGTGTATAAACATTATCAATGTTTCAAAAATAAGATATTAATAATATCTAATAAGGTACTTAAAAATAATTAGTTGCTATCATTATCAAAGTTTTTGGATGCATTATCCATTAAAAACGTGTTACTTATTAATGCGTTTTTAGTGCTATTTGACATTAAACATTGCATCTAAATATTATTAATATTTTTTATTACAAAAATATATTTCCTTATCAGTGACTTGATCATTCGATATTAATGGTTTTTAATATCTTTATTAAAAGTTTGATGTCATTTATAATGTTGAAGTCGGACATTTTTTCATTGATGTTTTGTGTTTATTTTCAACGAAATACTTTTCGTAATCAATGATTTATTGGATTGTTATTAAAAGTTTGGTGTTGAGGCGTGAATGTTGGTTTGCTTGAGCTAATATTTTTTTGGACAATGTTTGTTTGACTGAATCACACAAGTGCACTATGTCACAAGTACCCAAGATGTTGAAAATCAGTATTATGCTTTATGGTCATTGAGAATGATAATGTAAAGCAATATTAATTGATCATAAAACGTTAATAATGTCATTAGAAATCATTGGAAGAGGCATGACTAGATAGTTATAAACATGATGTGAAAATGTAAATCATTAGTACTAAAGATGCTGTAAATCAATGATATTGTTATTCAAACTGTTAATGACCATGTTACATAACTTTAATGATTCATTCATAGGTAGGGGTGGGCATTCGGTCGGTTCGGTTTGAACCGAACCGAACAGATGATTACCGATGTTCCGATCCCAGGTGAAAGACAAACCGAAATCGAACCGAAATATATTTCGGTTCGGTTTGCCCGAACCGAAATATAAGTCGGTTCGGTCCGGTTTTAATGGCAAAACCGAAACTATGAAACCAACCCACCTTATCCCCTAAAAAATCTCCGCCCCAGCAATTGGAAATCCTTCCCCTCCTCTCACATCTTATCACCCCCACAAAGTCTCCGCCCAGATTTATCATTCCCTTCCCCTCCTCTCTCTCTCTCTCTCTCCTCCATCTCCTAATTCAACAACAATGACGACCGATCGAGAGAACAAGGCGGCGACAAAAGCAACAACGATTGATGTCGTGATGTTGATGAAGATTCTGAGCGATTGAACAAACACGGCGACAGCGGCAGCGGCGACAAAGAATCAGGTAGCATCGTCTGCATGTAGTGTTCGGCGGCACGATTGAAGAAAGGAAGGGTGACGAGGAGATCTCTCTGTCTCTGATCTCGAAGTGAAGAAAGGAAGAAAGGGGATGGTGACGAGGAGGAGGGTGGTGGACGGAGGGGAGGAGCGTTTGGTGGTGTTGGAGAAGAGGATGGTGGGCGGCGACGCGTAGGAGCGGCGTCGGCGGGATCTGGAGCGGCGCCGCGAAGTGGGAGCGGCGGCGCGAAGTGGGAGCGGCCACGGGATCGGCAGCGTGCTAGAGGGTGAGATGGGAGAGCGATTCTCCACTGCCTCTCTTTTTTAGTCTATTAGGGTTAGTTGGGTGAGAGATTTGGGCTGAAGAGTTTGGTGAGAGATATGGGCCGAGGCCCAGTGATAGTTGGGGTGAGGGGAATATGTGGGCTGGGTGTATTAATTCGGTTTTTCGGTTCGATGTTCGGAATTCGGGTTCGGTCGAGAGGACCCTGGGTTCCGAAATGTGGCTATTTTGCTTCCGATTTCCGATCCGAATAGTAACAATTCGGTTTCGGTTCGGTCCGGTTCGATTCGGGTTTACCGAACCGGATGCCCACCCCTATTCATAGGCGTTGATAATGTAATTGCAAAATGTTAAAACTGTATTGCAAGGTTCCACGAAGTGAGAGAGAGCATATATTTTTAATTTTCAATTTTCATTTTAAAAAATAAAAATAATAAGTTCGAATTTATTAAATATTAAATAATAATATTTAACTAAATTAATTTCGAATTTCCTTTTAATTGTAGTGGAGAGAGAGGGTTATGGAGAAGATCAAGGGGAGTATGAAAGAGAATCATTAATGAGTAATATTAATTATATTTTCATTATATCTTATTTATTCCAACTAACTATTAACTACTAACCCCTATTAACTACCTAATCTAGTATCAGCCAATAAAAATGGTTTAAGAACCTCCTTAAACAATGAAATTTAAGGACCGGATCCAACCCGACATAAGTTTCGTGATTATGGAAATTAGCCTATTATTTTGGTCTTCAGGACCAAATTCCGTGCCAGAAGCCGCGATCTGCTAAATATGCACAGAAACATGGGACTGAATTCTCTGCTGAAAACCAACCCGTAATTATTTAATAAAATTAAAATAAATGGAACAACAATAATTGCCACTTTTGCAGTGGCGAATATCCCCAGAAACACGGCGAGAGCCGAGAAGGAGACCGAAACAAACAAACAAGAAACGGGAAATCCGACCGCAAAGGCGCACAAAAGGGTGATCATCAAAAAATGAATATTAAAAAAAAAAAAAAAGAAGCAAAATAGGGCCCCCCGTTTTCCTCTCCATTTGCCCTTATCCCGCGGCCAAATGACACTTCACCACCACTTTGCCGAAAAAAAAGAATTAATAAGGCAATAACATAAAACAAAGGACAAAAAAATTCAAGAAATGGAAATGAGGCCACACGCAATACTCCGAAAGAGCTGGTAGAGGTATTTTAATGGAGGTTGGGAGTTAGATTTGGGAGTTCCGCAGCTGCGTGAGAGAGAATTTTTGGTTCCGGTGAGAGCTTTTGTTGTTGCTGCGGCCTACGGGCGGTTTACCTAAACATATTCCTCCCATCCAGAAAGAGAGAGATAGTGAGTGCGAGAGAAAAGAGAGAGGAGAAGCGGTGCGGTTGAGTGTCTGTGTTTGTCTCGGCAAAAATGGGGAATTCGTTCGGTTGCTCCGCCTCCGGCGAGAGGCTGGTGTCGGCGGCGAGGGACGGCGATTTGGTCGAGGCCAAGATGCTCTTGGATTGCAACCCTTGCCTCGCCAAGTACTCCACCTTCGGCGGCCTCAACTCTCCGCTCCATTTCGCCGCAGCTAAAGGCCACAACGAGGTTCCTTCCTTTTCTTTTTTTTTTTTTGCTGTGGGAATATTTTAGGGCGTGAAATTTTCACTTCCTGTTGATTACCTTTGATATCTCCGCCATTTTTCTTGGTTTAGATTGTGGCGTTGCTGCTGGATAATGGCGCGGACGTCAACTCGAGGAATTATTGTGGCCAGGTACGGTACCTTTCCTCATTTGTTCTAAGATTTGTCTTAGAGGTTATAAGAGCGATCGGGTTCGGCCGAATCGAGTTTGCGTGAGATGTGATTGCTTCTCCGCTCGACCTAATTAGGAAATTTGGAAATCCGAATCATACCACGGTAGCTTAGGAAATGGCCGCAATTGGGGAACGATGTAATTGAGGAATGGAATCTTTTCTCTCGTGGATTTGTATGATCTTTTCCGTTCAACAACAACATTCTTATAATCGTCTTGTTGTTGCTCTGTTTTTGAAGACGGCATTGATGCAAGCTTGTAGATATGGACACTGGGAAGTTGTACAGACTCTTCTTCTTTTCCGTTGCAATGTAAGAGCTCTCTTCTTGCCGTTGTCTCCTGATCTTCTCTTTTTTTTCCCTTCCTTTCCTAGGACCATTAGTAGCTGCTTTGGAATTTGTAGGTTACCCGAGCAGATTATCTCAGTGGGAGGACAGCCCTTCATTTCGCAGCTGTAAATGGCCACGCAAGATGTCTGAGACTAGTTGTTGCTGATTTCGTTCCTAGTGCTCCTTTTGTTCTTGCTCATGATCGGGCAGAAAATGATGCAGGGGAGTGTGCTACTGTAAAGACAAGGTTCGACTAAAACCTTTCTGTAAAAACTTAGCGTTCACGAGTTCTCTGATTCAAAATGTGTAATGCCTGTGTGTTCCCCATTCAAGTTAGAGTGGAACTAGTGCAAGTGAATACCTCTCCGGGTTTGAGTGTGCTTTCAACTTTACTAGTTTCTAGTTTTTGATTGCTCAGTAGTAGTGGGACTTACCAAGAAATTCTGATGCAGCGCACTGTCCAAGTTTGTAAATAAGGCGGCGGATGGTGGTATAACTGCTCTTCACATGGCTGCATTGCACGGCTATTTCGACTGTGTACAGCTTCTACTTGACCTTCATGCAAATGTTTCGGCTGTCACATTTCATTACGGAACAACGATGGATTTAATTGGTATGTCTTGTGTCTTTGTCGGACCAATCAGTGCTTCAGTAATTTTCCTTGTGAAGTTTGTCGAACAAGCCATGTGCTTATGATTGCAGGAGCTGGGAGTACACCTTTGCATTATGCTGCTTGCGGGGGCAACTTAAAGTGCTGTCAGGTGAATAAAATGCAAGCTGCAACGTGACGCTCTCAAGCGTGTGATTAAATCCTGAGAAGTGATATAATTGTGTCCCTAATTCTGCAGATCCTTCTAGCTAGAGGTGCAAGTCGAATTTCATTGAACTGCAATGGGTGAGTATCCATTTCTTGTGTTTGATGTTTGGTCACCTAGTGCACTTGCTCTTGTCTAAATCAATACTATCTTACTATTCAGGTGGCTGCCTGTCGATGTGGCTAGGATGTGGGGCCGTCATTGGCTTGAACCATTGCTGACACCAAATTCTGATTCTATCATCCCACGATTCCCTCAGTCGTGTTACTTATCCTTGCCCCTTTTGAGTGTGCTTAATATAGCAAGGTACTTCTTCAATTTTACATGTAATTTGTGTGACATGCATGCTTTACTGTTCTGTTTTCGAGGAAGTTAGTAGATGACTTATTTTGACTTTTTCTTTGTAGAGAGTTTGGGATGCAATACGCGACATCCTCTAATGATCCAGACGTTTGTGCTGTCTGCCTGGAGAGACACTGTAATGTGGCTGCTGAAGGTTTGTTTTTTCTTCTATTTGGTTGTGTATGCTATGTTCTCCTCAGAAATATTCCTGGTTTTTATGTCTTTTTATCTGTCTACGTTGCACGTCCATGTATAATAATTCAATTGCCCTCTCTGCCCCTGCAACCTGAGGGAAGTATGCTGATCAGACGCCATCCAGTGCATTAGCATAAGTTTAGGACACTGATGAACAACTATATGGAGGAATTAAGAGGAAAGGCTTTATAATAAAGAGAAAATAACTGAGGATAAGTTCTACATAATAGTTGAGCTTATTCACTGAGGATCCTCAGAACTACTTCTTGTCTCGTTAATATTCGCTCTGGAGACCCACTGAAATCTTTATTTTTCTTTGGTCTGATAAGGCTCCTATTGCATCACAATATGACAAGGAATGTTTATCTGTAACAGAGAATAGACAAGTTAACAGTATCCCGGAGGCCAAATAATTCCATTGTCATTTCCATTTAATTAAAAGCTTGGAACGTGTGTGTGTGTGTCTATTTGAAGAATTTCTGTAGCCTCTTTATCTCATCTTGCATTAAAAGAATATGGTCTGCTCCTCAGCGGAATGAAGAAGCTCAGAAGTTTCTAACTGTTGATCTTAATTACTAAACTCTGTGTGTGCAGGTTGTGGGCATGAGCTTTGTGTGAGATGTGCACTTTACCTGTGCTCAACTAGCAACATGCCAACAGAAACAGCTGGCCCACCTGGGTCCGTCCCTTGCCCACTCTGCAGAAATGGGATCGTCTCATTCATCAAATTAGCAGGCTCCCCGGCAAAAGAACTAAAGCAGGTTTCCATGTCACTCGGCCTGTGCACCCCTTGCATGCTTCACCCTCGCGACGACCAGCGAGCAGCTTGTGTGCCCGAGATTCGTAAGAACCGGGTTGCTGCAGTGGTATCTTCAGAATACCTCTGCCCAGTCACCTGCAGCCCATTTCCCTCGGTGGCCATGCCATTATGCACCTGCAACGATGGTCCTTGCCCTCCTTTCGAAGCCGAATCGTCCTGCGAATCAACATCCGAATCATCCCCACGTGGCTCGCACGCAGCAGCACCCAGTGGGGACCAGGACAAACTGGAAGGGACGAGGCTGGAGAAGACGACGTCGTGTTCGAGCATGTTTTGGAGCAGAAGAAGCTGCAGCCGCGAGCATCAGTGCAACTCCGAAATAAATGCCTGACACCATAAGAAGATATACTCATCTCATTGATTTTGGGGGGGTTGGCAGAGGGAGTTTTTGTGAAGATGAAGGTAATCTGCTCTGTTGCCTCTCCCAAACTTTGCTACTGCAAGTTTCGGTTTAATATATTGTTTCGTGGGGAAGAGGCTTGGGGGTGGTTTAAGGTCTGGAGAAAACGGTTTTCTTTAGGAGAGCTGGTATATGTAATTCTTCGATTGGACGAAAACTGTGATTTTAGGGTTGCAGACCTTTCCCCATCCCTTGTGTCCCTCCTCCATCCACCTATTATGTTCAAAATTTTCTGGTTCTTGGCTTGGACAGGTAGGAAACTGGTTTAGGGAATGAGCAAATATTGGGTGATCTGTTTTTGTTTCTCTTATCATTTTAGGTGGACATAATATGTACCTATATGTTATGTAATTTAATTGCAACCAAACCAGCCGCATGTAGCTGTTGAACTAGATGTAAATGTGTATCTTTCTTATGTACGAAGCTGAGAGTACGAACCGGTTTCAACATTCGAACTGTAATCTGGCTTATGGATTGTGGAACATATACATTGTAATCATAAGCAGAGAGATGGCAAATGGGTTGTTGCAGGTTACATAATTTGAAGCCATAGTCGAGGGAGTTTTATCTGGTGCAAACAGATCCCATCTAGTGCGTTAATTGGAAGTTTAGCCATGGCTCATGGCTGAGAGCAATGTGTCGTGAAAGCTTTACTGGGCGGGATGGAGTTCGTTCACAGAAGAAACATTAGCCTCGGATTTTACTCTTCAACAAGTTGATATATTTGTTACCTCTGAGTTTGATAATGTTTGGGCTTTTCAGACTCGGATTGGGCCCCAATAATTGGATCTGAATGGAGTTGGTAGGTGGGGGCTCTATATGGCAGAACCGGGAACATTGGCCCAAAGGAAGACAATTAGGTTAGGATTTTCGAGAATGAGAAAGGCAGGCGCAATGGAAGACAGAGTGGGAAAATTGCTGCATGGACGTGCGTGCCTATCTAGGTTAGCTTTACGGTTTGGTCCAGTAAACCGCAGTTTGGACCAAATCAGACAAAAAAATCCAAAACATCATATAATATGGATTATGAACCGGACCCGACCATTTTTAACGGTCTACAATCTGGTTTGGTTCACAATTTTTCAGACAGTATGATCTATTTTCTCGACCCTAATTTGGTGGTAGTTCATGAATTTTGTTTTTGTCAAATAGTGAAAAAATGAAATACCATATTTTGATCTCTTTTTAACTATTACCTTTTTTTTTTTTTTTTGGTAGAAGTAACTATTACCTTCTATTGATGCGGCTTGGGCATAGATCTTCTTATTCTAATTTGGACGTCTTGCCTGTGGTACTACATGAATGTTATGGATAAGCAGAGTGGCTTCGTCGGATGTGATTCTGACGAAACTTCTAGAACTAAAGAGAAGGGCTAACACCTACAACCGCTAGAAGAAGAAAAAAAATTTCGTTAGTTAACTTATACAGCGTTATCCATCATATTTGTTACCAGCAGCCAGCCAGCGGTTGGCTACTATTATAAATTTCTATGTGATGTTCACGACAGTACAAAGCAATCATGTTTAACACCACATTTTCCCCAAAGATACACGAAATCCATGATGCAAGATTCATATGTTTTTGCATATGTGAGATAGAAAACGGACCCATCCACCACCCATTATATATATATTTGTAGCTTTCCGGCAGCCTGCCACTTTGGGGAAAACGAAAATCACATGGCCCTAATCAAAGAGTACGTTACATCCAAACAAACAGTAGTACTACTACCACTAGGGCTGCAAATGAGCCAAGCTACTCGCGAGCAACTCGAGGCTCGAATCGGGAAAAGCTCGTTCGAAACTCGATTCGTTTACTGACGAGCCAAGCTTGAGCTTAGCTTTGTTCAGCTCGTGAAGCTCGCGAGCTAGCTCGACTCGGTGGTTTGTTGAGCTCAACTCGTGAGTTGGCTCTTTTAGAGCTCATGAGATGTCTCAACATTGTGGTTTTGAGGGCCAACTTGATCACTAACTTATGGACTAATCGATCTAATTTGGACTTTCATAATTCATAGGATTGTTAAATTATATATCTCACATCATGTGAAGTTTAACATGTTGAACATGTAAGAAAATATGCCTTATTTTTAATTCTATAAAGAAATTATGTACAAAATTGTTTCGATACTATGAAATAACAAGATTTGAACTAGTTAAAATTTATTAACTAAACAATATGACACCTAAAAATTATAATATAAGATTAATTAATGTTGAACATTTGATTATTTTTTTATCGCTACATCAATCACATGTACCATACGCGACATACAAAATGAATGTATTAAATACGATCTGAGAATTTAGTAAACAAGCCTAGCTCGAACTCGACTCGACTCGGCTCGTTAATAAATGACTCGGGCTCGAGCTCAGCTCATTTGTTAACGAGTCAAGCTCAAGCTTGGGTAAAACTCGGCTCAGCTCGGCTCATTTGCAGCCCTAACTACCACCACACCCACCATAATTATGAAATGTACGTAGTGATTACTCTTTGGAAACATGCCCATAATCAATCCAAGACGTCGTCGTCGTACATATGATAATGATGGCCGGCACATTAATTATAATTATTTTCATTTGCTCAAATCATCATCAATTATTTGTAGCAGCCTGCAGCCATGAATGAAGCTTGGCGTTGGGTACGTAAACTAGATAGTTTAATTTCATCTTCTTCTCGCCGCAGTCTCTCGCTGGCAGTTGAAGTAAATGACGGCAACGGGGAGCCCCAAGCCGTTGTCCTGAGCGAACCTGCTGGTGCTGAAGCAGTCCCTTGACGACGTCGTCGGCGGCCTCACCGTCTGCCTCCCTCTGGCTTGCTTGTACAGGACGAACACGTAGCGGTGGATTCCCACCACCGGCCTCGGCACCTCGTAGCTCACTACTTCCTTCCCTGCGTCAGTTATTTCATCGTCACCATTAATTTGTTAGAGAGTGTCAGAATAACCGTCTTTTAACAATTCGAGTTATTGGAACAAACTGATTTATTGGGACCAGCTCGGTTCGGAAAGCGAAAAAGAGTACAGCTATAGGGGAGAATATATAAGCTCACCAAATGAAGCATCCGTTGTGCCCGGAATGTCCGTGACCATCCTAAAGTAAAACGGATCAAACATGTTAGGTTTATCAAACAAAGGTGAAACTGATGAGAAATCGACAATACAAGAAAAAATAACGAATACACAGATTTACACGTTTCATTGATATAATGTGGTGTTGTTTACGTACGTCCACGTATAGAAAGAGATAAGTTTCACTGTACTTGAATAGATAAGTATTTACAGAGAGATTGAGAAGGTTCCAAAACATGTGTATATAAACCAATACAGTACGGTAGGTTTAGAACCTGTGACTTCCAGTCGATGACGGATAATACGTATTCAAGTCATAGCAAACGGTAAGGAAGGGAACGTACCAGTGAAGATGTTCCTTGAGGTAAGGATCACTGGGGCTTGGATAGTCGGGGTCGGTCATGATCTTCAAACATGGGGAAACACCGGCCACCATGAGTCCAAGAAAGAAATAAATATAACATTAACGGTACGTAGCAAAGAGATTGTTTGAGTATAGTGAGTAAATTAGTTACGAGGGTGTAAGGAGTGCGCAAGTCGTCGCCGCCGATGTCGACGCGCGGCCGGGAAGCAACGACGGCCGGCATGAGCTCGTGGCCGTTGGAGACTTGCTTGTTGGAGTTGTAGGTGACGCTCATTCTCACGCTGGGGTTGAACATCTCCACCACTTCACCCACCACTCTCCCCACTATCAATGGCTCCATTGCTCCTCTCGCCATTAATCCGATTCTTTCCTACCAGTTCCTGACAGAAACCGATGGAAACTAGCAAATGGGTTTTCACCCTTTTGTCTTTTCTTTGCTCTATGTATTTGGTATTGCTGTAAAGTTTGCTTCTTTGGTGTTGGGTTAGTGTTGGGTTATGGTGATGATGATGGGGAACTGAGATTCAGGGGAGGCCAGGCTTTTTATAGGCGAAAGATAGAACTGTAGAGAGAGAGAGAGAGAGGGAGCTTAACTCACAAGCTAGATATACATTACATGCACGATCACTACAAATTAATGTAAAAAAAATTGCATTCAAAGGGAAAGAAAGTGAGGCATATTCCTCCTCCTCATCATAACCTTGACCTTCTAGAGGTTGATGTGACTCAAAGTATAATGATTTGGATCGTAAACTACAGTAGTGGTTAATTGGTTAGTTCATTAATTCTCGTGTTCATGATTTGCGCATCCTATACTTAGAAGCAAAGTGATTGGTCCATGGAGGAAGAAAAAGAATTGTGGTGACATGTTATGTGAAGGACCCATGGATGATTGTCTCGGTTAAGGAAAAAAAAAAAAAAGGACAAGTGTCACATGAAGCAATCTTTTCTCTCCACCCTTCAAATCATTTCGCTTTCATGCAATTGTCCTTGTAGTTGTTTTGTCACTTGGTGCGGTCTTGTTAGCATTATTACTAGTCATAAAGATGCAGCAACGATCCGGTTATGGTACTCATACTTCGAAGTAGTTGAATCGTGTATATATGGACGTATGTGTCCATTCTACTGGTACAATATACATGTATGTAAGTTAACATTGTCGAATTTCTGTAAAATGATTCTCGCAAATGAAATGTGGACACGATAGCAAATTTGAAAATGTGGATACAAGAAGAGAAGCCACTAGAAAAGATTCTTCTTTTTTTTCCCCCGGCCATCCTCCTCTTTTGGGTTCAGTTTGTCTCTTCATGATCGATCATCAAAAAGAAAATTGAGAAAATGGGTTGGAGAAAAATAGACAAAAATGAGAAGGAGAATCTAACATGTCTCTGGCCTATTGGTTTGGTGGGAATAAATGAATAATTGGACTGTTGCCATTGGGTTATGAAGGAGGCCAAGTAGAAAAAACAACTTTAGTTATAATATCTTTGGTGCAAATGGGGAATTCAGCTTTCCAGGCAGCTACTCCCCTCCATACACATGCTCTCTCTCTCTCTCTCTCTCTCTCTGCCTTCAGAAATGGAAAGTTGGAAAAAACAATGTTATCAACAGTGCATTGGAAATGCAAGTAGAGAAGGGGGATGGAGGTTTTATATTGCTTTTCTGTTTAGGGAATTGTTTTTGTTGTAATCTGGTTTGGTTCTTTGCCATTAGTGGCATATCTACATACTCTATGCTCCTAAATGTGGTAGCAAGATATCAATGCTACTTTTTATTCAAAAGTTGGGTCGATGCTTGTTCTTTGTAGCAAAAAAATAAAAAACATTTCTTTGGCACCAGCTGCCATGAAAAGTCCAATTTCACATAGATTACAGGGTATAGAAGATGTACTATTTATCTAGTCCTGCGGGATTTTGTTATTGTATTTTAAATCAGTCATTCGTTCTCGTCGGTTTAAAGCTGAGATCACCTTTTCTAAAAGCACTTAATGCTACTCGTCTTTAATCGACACTAATTATTGTGCATCGAAATAAAGAATGTATGATCATGGCCTGGTCATCCTCACTTTCCACGGTTTGTAGCAAATTGCCAAACCACTTCTTGCAATATGAATCCCTTCCAACCAACGGCAGAGAGGTACTGAATTGAATTGAAGCTGATGAGTGCTCAGACAACCAATTTAGTAGGTGCCCAAAAAGCCGATGATACTCGAGAAGAATTGATTTTATTAGTGGTTCATGCATCGATCCTATTACAATTGCGGCCATTTTGGTGATGTGCATAATATATATGCAATATGCATGCCATCCCACAAAGTGTAACATTGCCTTTTTTGCCCCCTTTTTCTATTTAGGGTTTGGCCATTCATCGTTTCATTATATAATTTTGGCATAAATATAATATGCGCTTTATTTACATTATCTCTTCAAGTGAAACACTCTATTGAGGAAGTCGATGTGGTGTGGTTACACCAACCAGTTGTTTTTATATCAAATATGGTTTGTGTGATTTGGCTAATTGGTTTGATTCTTTCAAATTTCTTAGTAAATTTGGTCATATTATAACCTACTAATTCCTTATAGCAAAGGAGAATTGGAGCAAATGTTCAGACTTCCTCTTGGTACGTGCAATACCGGACAAACTACACCGATTGGTAAGCCAAACTCAAAATTATTCATCCTCACCCGATGAACTGAAAGACTCAGATCAATCAAATTTCGTAGTAACATATCAATGTGATGTGGAATGGAATGGAGAGATTTAGAGGAGAAGAACAAATGATCAAGTCACACACCTAATATCTCATATAAAATGTAAATACAATACTTATATATATCTTCTCAATCTCTGTATTAATATATACCTCCTAAAACATAGTGAATTTGCGCTCACCTACCTGTGGATATAACTAACTAACACATATCATATTAGTAGACTACGTAAATCTATGTATTGTTTACTTTCTTCTATTGTCTATTTACTCATCCTAAAACACAAACATAGTGAAACTTAGATTATGTTGATACTTTACCCACCTTTTTTTGAAATGGAGGAAATAGGTAATAGGAGAGTTATAAAAACCTCTGTAAGCTCGACACGTCTTTGGTCCATTGAAATGTAATAAAAATAATAATATGGTGCCAAAAACAACTTTCCTCTGCAAAAAATTCTGCCCCATTAATATTCCATGAAGAGTCGTCGATCGTACTTTGCATGCCAGAATTCTGGAACACGTATCAGCAGCAGCCGTCGAGGGAGATGGGAATGGGACACAAAACACAGACCATGGGCGGCGTACCACAACTTGACACGTACCTCCCTCCACTTTCCATTCCCAAATTATTACGTCAGACCACGTGTCGGAATTGGGTTCGCTGGGTTCCAGATGGACGATGGCTATTCGAGCTTTTCCTTAGAGCAATCGATTCCATTCCCATTTCCATGTAATAATAATAGTATCGGAATCGGAAAGAACAGGTGCTGATTCATAAAAGAACAGACCAGTAACAGAAGTACTAAGAGTGGTTTAATCTCGATTGACATATTTTTACATCCACTTTGATTTGGGAATAGAGACTAGTAGAAATGACTCAACTATTGACATAGAATCTTAAATAATCCATGCGACCTTTATGATCTTTAGTAAAACTTGCTGTTGATTGATGCTTTGGTTGAGAAGGATCTTGAAAGAGGTGTTATAATCACATAGTACGAACTTTTATTTCCATAGATTGAAATATAAAGTTGTATTGTACTCCGTCTCGAATAATAGTTTTTTTAGTGCGCAAAATTATTTGTTTCGTTGATTAAGTTTTCCTTAAAGTTAATATCAATCGTTAGTGGAGTTGGTGGTGTTGTGAAATGCTTTTCAATTACCTTCAAGTAAACCTCAGCTGACCTCCTTCTCTCTCCCTTTTCAAAACCTCCACCTTCTCTCTAGCTTTCCATCATCTTCTTCACAAGGCTGCCGCCAACACCACTCTGGTGACCGGCGGTGGCCCAAATTCTCTCTTTTTTCTTCCTTTCTCTTGCTCGCCGGATTTCCTTTGTGGTTTCCTTGCTCTCCGATCAGTGCTGGCTTTTCCTATTTCCTTTGCCCTTCTCGACTTTTGCAGATCTATTCTGATTTTCCAGCCCTCGATGGCTCTTCCAGCCCTTGGTGGCTTTATCTCGGTTCCTAAGTGGTTCCTCCCACATTCCTCCCTGGTGGAGATGTTGTGTCTTGTTCAGATCTAGTTTTCTAGATCTGTTCCTTTGTTTTGGGTACGGAAGATGCAATTTGGGGGTGCTTCTGCTGGTTCGGTTTTGAAGATTTCCTCCTTCTTGGTGTGGTCGTCCCCGTGGGCGATCATGTTCACTGTTGCACCTCTGCCGTTGTGCTCCTTGCTTGATCTCTGCATCTTTGCCAATCGTCAGTGTGGGTAGCGGTGTCTCTTCCGATTGTCGTGGCGGATGGTCCATGTTTCTATGAGATCAGAGTTCTTCATTTGGGTTGATTTGCAGTGTGGGTGTGGGTTGTTGTTGATGGATTGGGTTGTGCTGCTTGTTGGTGTTCCTGTTCTTGGAACTCTTTTTGGCTTTGTGTTTCTGCAGGTGAGGCTCATGCTGGTGGGTCTTCTTTTTTGTGGTTTTTGTGGGCATTTCAACCCTTTGTGTTCCCTGCTCTCTGGTTTGTCATGGATGCTTCCGCTGCCGGCTCCCTCTCTTTGTTTCAGCTCTGAACAATCTTGTATAGTGCTGCCCACCGCCATGTAATCTCCTCAGTGATTCACTGTGATGGGTCGTCTTCGAACAACTCCCAGGAGGCGGCATATGGTGTTGCAATGTTCAATCATCATGGTCATTGCTGTATTGGATGAGCTGAAGCTTTCCTTTGAGTTTTTCTGATAAATGAGGTTGCAAAGAGTGATTCAGATGCTTTGGTTTGCGGTTCAAGAATGGAATGCCCTTGTCTAGTTGGATCATGCTTGGCTTTCTCTTGTTCTGATCTTCTCCTTGTTGGTTTGTGTGTTCCTCTAGATGTTGAGGCTGTTCTTTCTTGATTTGTTTTCTCATGTTGTTTCCCCTCTTTGTAACCGATTTTATTAGTTGAGCAATATAAGTGATCCCTTTGTCAAAAAAAAAAAATGCTTTTCAATTGGTGCCTCCAGCTCGGTCTTTTAGGAGATGCTTTCTAATGGGAGATATGATCATAGGAATACCATCATTAATAAGGAGTTAATTTGCTTGTTCTACTATGGTCAGAGTGGTGCAAGTTTGGACTTTGGAGGAACTTTCACATCTTCATAAAGACACCTAAGTTTCGGCGTTTGTTTTTTCGGCACGATAACAATAGGAAAGTCTATTTGACGATGCAGAAGATCCTCTGTTTGGTTTCGGCCTTTGTAATAGTTTCTTATTTTGGTAGTTGACTTCGACATGAAGTATCAACTATGTATCTTTGTTATTTTGGTAATCTAAGTGAGCTATTAAATTTGTTCAACATTTAATCCATGGATAAAATTACAGACTAACATTATAAAAAAAAAACATCTCTTAAACAATCCACCCATTCAAAGCTGAGGATCTCTTCTGTAGAATTGCTGCGGGGATGGGACGCTGTTCATTGGGCTTGAGCTGGAGGAAGAATTGTCCGTCTCATTTGGGCTTGAAACTCTCGACAATTGGGCTTTTAATACTTAGAGAGGTAATAGGACACGAGTCGGCTCAACGTAGAAGACATATTCAAGCATTTCCTTTCTTTCTGCCCATGGACCCAATGGATACAGGCCCACTTTGAAAAGCCCATCAGCAATTCAAGATGAAAAAGATCAACTTGCCCCTTTGATGAATAAAGCTATGGGGTTGTTTGGATGAATCAATTGTAAAACAAGATAATTTGACTAATTGTTTCATTTTACAAAACAAATTATTTAAAACGAGTCAATTCATATTACCTGCCACACTCCAGACAATTGTAATTTACTCAAAATGAGTTAATTTAGAATTCCCCCGCCCAAATTGCCTCAACTATGACGGCTCCGTTATTCATGATACAGGTCTTGCCGCTGCTGGCGGCCTGATTCGAGATCATACTGGGCGTTGTCTAACAGCGTTCGCTTTAAACCTGGGAGCCTGCACTATTACCCAGGCTGAATTGAGGGGCGTTGTGGAAGGGCTTCAGGTGGCTTGGGAGCGAGGATATAGACATGTTCGTGTGCAGCTCGACTCCAAGTGTGCTGTCCAACTTATCCAACAGCCGCATACAGGTGACCATCACTGTGGTTCCATCCTCGACCGCTTCAAGGAACTTATGTCGAGACCCTGGGAGGTTACTATTGAGCATATCTATCGAGAGGGCAATTGTTGTGCTGATTATCTTGCTAGTAGCGGCCATGTTCTCCCCTTTGGTTTACATGAGGTAGAGAGTTCGGATCCGATGTTGTCTTATTGGATTATGTATGATTGTCAGGGGATGTTCGAATCCCGGTTGGTTTTGAATGAAAGGTAGGATGCGGTTGCATCCATTATAAAAAAAAAAAAAAAGAATTCCCCCGCCCAATTGCTTCATCCAATTTTTCTGCTGCCAAACGAATCAATCGGACACAATTGTCTCAAAACAGGACAATTGTGCGAGATAGATCTATTAGAATTCCTCAGCCAAACAACCCCTAACAAATTTTGTCATCAACCATGTGAGGACCAAGGAACGCAATTGGGTGTGTTTGAGGCAAGCTAATTTCAAAGCCAAGACTCATAACTTCCCTACTTCAAATCTCCAAACAGCCCCCATGGGTGGCAATCCAATCTCGTAACTGCAGGAGTGAGGCTTTGCCGAAGGAAGGAAGGCGTGCACGATTGAAGAAAGTCTCTCAACCAAATCCCGAGGACTATCGGATTAGGTAATGAATGCTTTTTTGGCTTGGGCAGAAGCAAGCAGAAAAAAGGATGAAGCATAGTGGACGGTTAAGATTGGAAAGTATTGGCGAAAAAAACATCATTTGAGAATGACTCATTTTGTTTTTTTGGTTGACAAACGAATTATTTGACATCAAATGAAGCTACCTAACCAAAGTGGTTCGGTTCATTTGTTTGGGCAATCCAGGATGAACCGAATGGTTTTTCATGGTTGGATATGGAACCAGATGAACCATCCCTGTTTGATTGGTTCACTAGTTCACTATTTTATATATAAAAGAATTAAAAAAAAAATAATACTGTAAAGTAAACTAAGACTATTTTAACACTACTAACTATTTTTTTTTTGTTCTACTTCATCTTCTTCGTTTCCTGGCTTCCTTGTTCAATTTACGCGATCTATTATCGGTTGTCACTAATTACTAGTTTGAACTTCATAGTTTTTCTGTATGATTTCTTATTAGATCGTTTGATGGCTTTATTAGAACATTTGGCGATGGATGATATGGATTTAGCATGAGTGGCAAATTGAGTCCTAAGTTAGTGTGTGTTATATAATGTCTTCAATTTATAGGATATGAAGAGTAACCACTAGCCCACAATTCTATCACATTAAACATTCAATCATAAACCACTAATTTTTTCGATTTAACATCGTATTCTTAAAACATAAGAACCAATCCCATTTTATCTTGGAGCCATGTCCAAACAAAAACCAGAGCCTCTGAAACATTCTGCAAAAAGAGCATTTCTCTGTATGATTCGCTGCTGAAAAAGAAAAGCAAAAAAATTGAGGGAATCCCATTCCCACACCGTCCCATCTCTGCTCTGCTCTGCCTCATTTTTCAGCGATAATGGATGGAATTCACCGAAAACCATAATAATGCATCGTGGAGAGGAAAGCAGAGTGAAGAAGAAGAAGAAGAAGAACAAGAAGAAGAACAAGCTTCTCTCTTTCTGCTCAGAAGCACATGGTCATGGCGTACGTTTCTTACAAATATATGCATACGTATGAGATCCTACTGCTCACACAGTCACACACTTCACTTGCTATTTGAGTTCATCATTTCATACACACTTCTGTAATAACCTCAACTGAAGAAAGAGCAGCTTTTCCCCTCCCATCCCATAATTAATCAGAGAAAGGAACTGTTCTCCACCTGCCACAACACCAGCTTTACCCCTTTTTTTTCTTTCCTTCCCTCCTTCAAAAATCAAAATCATTCCTTTATTTTGCTTTGGTTTTTCTCTTTTTACACAGCCAGTTCAATTCCAGGGTAGCTTGCTCTGTTTTTTTGAACACTCTGAAAACAATTTACTTCATGCATTGTTCTGTTGCTTTGTCACAAACTAAAATGAAACCCACTTGTTTTTGTTATGGTTGGGGTTGATTAATAAATGGAGGAGAAGAAGTTAATGATAGAGACTAGAGAGAGATAAGGGGGAACTGGAAGCAAAGAAATGAAAGCAACTGGCAGAGGGAACTACTAGTAGTAGTACACTGTAGTTACAGTGTGATAAAGGAAAAGATACAGAGAGATCTTCAAATTTTTTTTTGTATTTTCCTATTTGTTGAGAAGGAGGGATTTCCAAAAACAGGGGGTCTGCTGCTTCCTGTGAAGCGACAGCTCAGCTTCAGGGAGGGCAAGGCCAAGGCTGCAAGCAATCTCTTTCCTAAAATACAAACCCAACTATTTGCATTTCATTTCCCTCTCTCCTCTACCCTCTTACGTCAACTGCTCAGTCCTTCTCTGCTCTCTCTTCTCTTTGATACAGAGAGATGGCAGCATTTGGGACCATGGAGTTAAAATTTTATACAATTGACGAACTCTGTGTGATAAACCAGTTGGTCTCAATAATTCGAGTTGTTGGGAAAACGTTATTCTGAATCTTATACAGGCCTGTGTATGGTACTTAATCACTTCCTTACATGCTCCCTCAAACGAAAGCCGACTAATTGGTTTGAAGTTTGCACAAGCCTATCATATCATGTGCTTGAAAGAATAACGGTTAATCCTTACATGCCCCCTCAAACGAAAGCCGATTCATTGGCTTGAAGTTTGCATAGGCCCATCATATCATGTGCTTGAAAGAATAACGGTTAATATTGGAGGTCGTGAGGACTTGAACACGTGGCCTCAAGGACAAACCAGGCTCTGATACCATGTCATAAACTAGTTGGTCTCAATAACTCGAGTTATTGGGAGAAAGTTATTATGAATCTTATACAGGCCCGTGTATGGTACTTAACCACTTCCTTACACTCTGCAGTTCACCATTCGATAGAATTCATTAGCAAGCGTTCTCGTCTAGTTACCAAACGGAAGTATCGAATATGATAATTTTGTTGTTGTTAAGAATGTAATTTCAACCACTGACCACCCCAATCCACATTCTTACTTACCTCTTAATTTGCTCTATATTTATGGTAAGTGGAGCATTAGTGTGCAAGAGTTACAGGTAATTAGAGCTGCTAATGAAGAACTTGCACCGAAAAAACAGAGCAGCATTCCTCATTAGTTCTGGAAACCACTAATTTTGGGTTAGAAGCTAGAACTCTTGATATGGAAAGGTCTCGCTTTCAGAATTGATTGCAAGATTTGACTCTTGAGTCTTGACCCCCACCCAATCCCCAGAAAAAGAAGCAACCCGTTTTCCTTCTTTTCCTGGTCCACTGGTCAAGCTGCATTCGTCACGGTTCTGGGGATCCATATGGGTCATAAGGATTATGGGAAAAAGAAGAAGATGAAAAGGAAAGGCAAAACTGAAACGCTAGGCTTCATTCATTGCTCCTCCGGCCACCTCTGTTTTTATTTCCACGTAAACCCCTGAATTTCCTGGCCTTACAATTTGGTCCTCCTACAACCTATTGTCATGCATAGGTTTCGTATAGCACCTTAGAGAAATTGGTGTCCAAATCATTGTTTTTTTTAGGGTCACATCATTGCTTTTATTTATGGTTATGGTGGCCGGCTTATGATGAATAACAATGAGTTTTATGAGGAGGAAATGATTCAAAATCTATACCATGTAGCTAATGATTCGATAGTTTACACTCTTTTTTTTTTTGACAAAGGGTCACTTGTATTGCTTAACCAATAAAATCAGTTACAAAGAGGGGATACAGAATGTGAAAAGGGACCAAAAAAGAACAACCTCAAACATCCAGAGGAACACACACGAGGAAGAGATCAGAACAAAAGAAAACCAGGCATGATCCAACAAGACAGTGCCATTCCATTCTTGAGCCGCAACACAAAGCATCCGAAACACTCTTTGCATCCTCATTTATCAGAAAACTCAAAGCAAAGCTTCAGCTCATCCATTACAGAATTGACCATGATGATTGAACATTGCAACACCAAATGCCGCCTCCTGAGAGTTGTTCGAAGACGACCCATCACAGTGAATCACCGAAGAGATTACATGGCGGTGGACAGGACTGTACCGGATTGGTCAGAGCTGAAACAAAGAAAGGGTGCCGGCAACGGATGGACACAAAACAAAGAACAGCGTACACCAAGGGTTGAAAATGCCAACAAAGCCACAAGAAACAAAGACCCACCAGCAAGAGCTTCACCTGCAGAAACACAGCCAAAACGAGACAACCAAAGAGCAGCAGAACCCACACAATCCACAACAACCCACACTGCAAATCAACCCCAAGGTAGAACACAGATCTCTGAGAAACATGAACCATCCGATTCGGCGTTCGGAAGAGACACCGCTACCCACAAAGACGATTGGCAACAATGCAAGGAACAAGCAAAGAGCCCAACGGCAAAGGCGAAACGGTGAACGCGGTCATCCACGGGGACGACCACACCAAGAATGGGGGAGTCTTCAAAAGCAAACCAACAGAAGCACCCCCAACTTGCATCTTCCGTACCCAGAACAGAGGGACAGATCTAGAAAACTAGATCTGAACAAAACACAACATCTCCACTAGGGAGGACTGTGGGAGAGAACCACTTAGGATCCGAGAGAAGCCACCAAGGGCTGGAAGAGCCATCGAGGGCAGGAAACAAAATAGATCTGCAAAGACAACAAGGGCTGAAAAAACAGAAAGGAACCCGGAAAAGCCAACGGAAATCGGAGAGCAAGGAACCACAAAAGAACTCCGGGGAGAAGAGAACGAACAGAAGGGGAAAAAAAGAGAAAAAAAAAATAGAGATTTTGGGCCACCACCGGTCACCAGAGTGGTGCCGGCGGCAGCCCTATGAAGAGGACGATAGAAAATAGAGAGAAGTTAGAGCGTTTGAAAAAGGAGAGAGAAAGGGGCTCCCCTCAGATTGGTTTACACTCGAAAGGCCTCAAACTTCTCATTTGGGTCTAGGATACTTATGCAAAAGAAGTATAGCAAAATGAAATTATGTAAGAAACGGAAAAAGTAATAAAGAAGGAATTTGGCTACTATGCTTATGAACCATTGGATATGAATGTTCTTATGTCGTCGGCTCGGCTCGGCTCATATGCGTCTCGTAATTTACCATCATCAAATCCACAT